TACCCTAAATATTAGGTGCCGTATTATATGATGGACCCAAAAAGGGACCATAATTTTGACAACCACCCATGTGAAACAGCGCCCACAGTTCCGGTGGCTCGAGACTCAATGGGCGTCTTTAAAGTCCTACTTGACGCAAGGATCTGGAGTGGGGCCACAACCCATGCGGGCATCGTCCAAAGCATACCCCACCACATTCTCAGTCCCAGGAAGCTGTGACCGCATATGCAGGAAGCGTAGATGCAGCATGACCTCCTATATGACGGAAGAGGTTTCGCTATCCTGCTGAGAACTTGCCCTTGTCTCTTTAATGGCATGCACAGCCTTACAGAATTGCGGGAGGTCTTCCACGGGGCTGGATTCCAGACTTCCGAATAACGCCGATCTGTCTACTTACATGTTCGCCGGAGTTGCAGGCGATGCTTTTTTCTCGCTTTGTTCAGCACCGTGGCGATCATCGGTGAGTATACAGTGGCGCGTATGGTCTATAACAAAACCACAGCTCCTTGTGGCGACCCGCCTCCCTAAACCTTAAACCCTAAACCCTAAACCCTAAACCCTAAACCCTAAACCCTAAACCCTAAACATAAACCTTAAACCCTAAACCCTAAACTCCACGAGCCTCCGAGATGTCGTTAGCCTTCGCCTGCCCGTCCCCGTCTCTCGTCCTTGGAGGTCTCGGTCTCTTCCTCCTCCTCCGCCTTCTTTCCGACCCTGAGACCGCCAAGGAGTGCGGAGGGTGGGGTGGGTGTTCAGGAGTCAGGGTGAAGTTCCACATTTTTTTGAGTTCGGGGTTTGGGGCTCTAGGGTCCAAAGCCTTTTGATTCGGGGCTATGCGTGCCCTGTTTGAGAGAATTGGGAAACGGGTCGAGAGAATTCACTTCAGGAAAGACACCGGGAAACTTCGTTGGGCTGTGGGTCGGGCATGTTGCCTTCAAGGGAACTCGAACTTCGTGCCAAAGCCTAGTATGGGATTGGGGCGAACAAGTCTCAAGGCAGCAATGACGAGAATGTGAAGGACACCAGTGCTATAAACATGTATCGACAGGGAAAACGCGATAGCACCTACAGGAATTCCTTCTCTGCTGGGCCCTGCGGCTTCTTCTTCTGAATGATGTCGAGGTCCAAGTCTGTTGCTGCCGCAGCCTCGGCGGTGAACACTTTCCGAACCAAGCCTCAAAGTATGCCTGGCCCGGAGCACGACACATCGCAGCTGTAGCAGCGCATCTGCACACACAACTGGGCTTCCGGCGTGACGTGCAACGCCTTCCAAGCTGGAAAGAAACTTGGGAATCCAAAAGGTGGAGTAAGTACTACGGTTGATGATATAAATTCTGCAGTACCCACAGTAAGGACTCTACCATAATCCCCATAGGTCTCGGGTCCTTAATTTACAGTCATGCAGGATTTATATCATCAACAGTATCCCTAAACCCTAATCCTTAAATCCTAGACCAGAATTGTAGTAAGGGAATCCTAGACCAGAATTGTAGTAAGGGACCCCCAAAAATAGTACTATTTGGTAGTAATGGACCCCCCCCCAAAAAAAAATGGTATTGTTTGGTAGTTCCTAAGGCTCCTACAGTACTACCACGGCCGGCTCGAGCACTTCCACAGCCGCGAGAAAAAAGTCGCGAAATGCTGAAACCTTCAGCCCGACGTCTCCAAAAGATCTTGAGAACGAATAGAGGGTATAGGGGCCTTAATAATCAGAATAGGGTTCCTTTCAAAGGGCTCCTTCTAAGGGTTATACAGAAGGGTTTAGTTTAGGACGAAACATGTCGCGCCTTTTGTGACGTGGACTTGGATGCAAGGTGTTTGGGGTGCATCAGGGCCTTCCAAGGTGGGGTTTAGGTTAGGATGTAAGGAGCCTCGACGCCCTCTGCACGAAGCCGCAACAGCCGCAGCGGCTATGAGAGCTCGTGACATCGGCCTCGGCGGCACCGAAGTGAAACCTTAAACCCTAAACCGTCCGGACTTTGCAGATGCTCAGATTTGAAGTTCGGGTCTCACAGAATGCCGGCGGAGCTGGTCAAAATCCGGAGCAGCCTAATGACCTAATGTGGGAACCTGATTAAGAAACCCTGGCCCTAGAACCCCATAGTAGTAGGATTCATAAAAAGAACCGTAATAAAGGCCCAAGGTTTCTTAATCAGGTTCCTATATGGGAGTTTCCGAAAAT